GATTTCCTTAATAGAGCTTGTAGAGTAGAGTTTTTAAGAATATTAACACATTAAAAATTCTACATTGTTCCTGTGTCCACCCTCATTTGGAGTACTGGTCTGTTATCTGGTCTCCATACCAGCATTACCTTTGTAATATGTTGGAAAGTAGACAGCGTCGATTTTTTATTGTTTTTGTCGATATTATGTTTGATTTACAGTGGACTCTAACTATATTGCCATGGTCAAGGCTGCAGGGGAGTAAAATGGCAATGAGGCGTATGTAACGTGGTGGTAGAGCGAATTTGTGTGCTCGAAAGTACGTGTGAAGGGGAAGTGCCACGCGTGGCAATATGTTTAGTGGCAATATAGTTAGAGTCCACTGTACTATCATCACATAAGGTACTTTAATCGTGTCATCGTGTGCCCTAATATCCTATCTCACTTTAAATTAATTACGTCACCGTCATTTAGAAGAAATCATATCCTACCATGTCGAGAAGCCCACTTCACGAATTATGGCCAATACAATTGCATTAACCTTATAATTATGAATGTCAATAAATTCTGTAAATCGCTGAACTTCTTTAGTTCCCATGCCTCTTCTAGGCATAGAATATACAACATTCTCTACTTCCAAGTGGATAGTATACCAAACGATTTTATACCGATATATGAATGAAAAAATAAACAAACAAATATATAGATAAATTCAGTCAAAAAGGTTGAATGTAGCCTTAATTTCGATACTCGGTAAAATTCCCAATAACAATGGCCTGTATATCTCGTGACATCATTAGAGACATTTCTGTGCACACGACGGGTTCCAGCGGAGTCACCGAACCGAACCCAACCGAACATCTCCAAACATGGTGGTCCACCTGTTGCACCCAATGAACTCGGCCATGAGACAGGGGTTAGAGGGGGGGACGCACGTTTGTTGAAGGAACCTGTACGATAGTGGGACGACTCGCAAGGTGGGAGGTTCGCATTATAGGTGGCGACCCGAGGACCTACATTCACGGACGGAATCTTCTCTCCGCGCGGCCTCTGCTACGGAGGGAAGCCCTCGTCTTCCTTAAAGTATTCGTGTCGATGCCGGTTGACTCGCTTAGCGGAGTGATTCTCGAATTCCGTCGCTGAGATTCCACCGGAGAAATTACTCGCCCTTCCCCCACTCCCCCTTCCCTGTTCTTTTCTCCGTCGCCTCTTTTTTTTCCATTCCGAACAGACCCCTCGTGGACCGCGAAATTGAACCCAAGCTTCGCGGTGAAATATACCTCGAGAATAGAAGTTACGTTTTCTATTGGCACAGAATTAATTGTGTAGATAATTTCAGAAGAAAGAACATATTTTATGTACAGGATATATCGTTGCTTCGTTTAAAAAATGAATCATGATAGATTAGGTATCGTTTAGAGCCAGTTCAGACGAATGGAGATAAAGGCTTTTACTCATAACTTGTATCGAAAAAAGGTATCGACGGGTACCTACTTGTATCGAAGGAAAACGAATACCAAGTTCATTGTTTTATTAATATATTGTATTTTAATCAGAGTTGAGCAGAATTTTATTCGAATAAACAAATATCTGTGACCACATTGTGAAATTATATTTTCACGGTTATCCAAAGTCATTGCCACTCGATTTAATAAAGCATTGAAACTTCCCAGACGTCACGTAACATTCAGGTTACGTTAACAATTGTAAAGATTATAAAGAGAAATACATTCTTCATATACTGATTCCTAATATTATATCCAATTGTCCGCAACAAACCCATATATTAAGATTTTAAACCTGCCCATGTCAATTAAGGGGAATCAATTGTAAGAAAATCTCCTTTCACAGCATCGTCAAGCCTCCCTAGAACCTCCGTAACACTGAACACGTTACCGTGCAGTATTTATTTAACTGACAGTCGAAACGATCGGGATGAAACGCATCGTTACAGCACGGATCGACAGTTTCATGCTTTCGCATCGCGTCATCCGCGTCGGAGTCGTTCTTCCGCGTAACGGAAGGCATATTTTCCGTGGAGCATGCAGAAAATCCCGGTGGCAAGCTTGAAAAGGCCAGAGAAGAGACTTTCTAATTTCGTCGGCACGGATCCGTCTAACGACCAGGCGGATTAGCGTCACGTATAATTGAGCCGTGGCAGAACGGCAAGGACGCCCCCGGGAGTGCTCGTAAAGCCTAAGCGAGCGTAAAAAATGGCGTCGGTGAGTTCGCGCGTTCGCGGCGGTGAAACGAAACCGCGGATTGCACCGGCTCTCCTCCCGCCGTTACCACTTTTTCTATGCACCATCGACTGTATCGACCCGATATTATGTTTACCCGCGTGAAAACCGTCCGCCGTTACCATCCTACGGCTATCGTGGCTTACGTAATTCCGATAGGATTACGCGTAACCCGTTGTTCCGTTTCAGAAGAAAACATAGCACAGATAACCTTCCACCGTCATCGTCTCGGCTCGATTGCGACGAATCTCGAGACGGAAAAATACGGAACCCTCGGATGACGATAGGATATTTTGTTATTTGCGACGATGAATCTTCCATTTCGATTAATATAGGGGAGGAAAAATATTAATGGTCGTCTGATTTCTTGATGGTTCGTGCGTTTGAAATTTCAGGTTTTTAATTTTGCTTAATTTATGTATTGATCGGGGTTGGTTATTTAGATAATATTTCACTTTGTTCGCGAGAGCGACAGAATTTCGCGTCGCGATAGATCCTCCAGGTTCGTGTAGGTCATTCGGGGGATAATTGTTCGTTATTTCGTGCCTGATTGTTTCGATGTACAGTTAGGTCGGTCTTAAGGAAACGGTGTTAGACCCTCCGGTTTGATGATTATTAACCTTATGGTCTTGCCACGCCGGAAACGGGATGAACGATCAACGATCTTTACGCTGTTCGTCTCAAGATTAGTTAAGGAATGAATAGTTAGACGAAAATCGGGCCACTTTGTTTTGAAGTGCTTGTTTTTGATGATAGGAAAAAACGTGAGGAAAATATTTGATTGGAAGAGACAATGCTGTGATATAAGCGAAAAAATTTGCTCATGGTCATATTTTTCGTAATTTTGAAGGTCATCGATGTTTTTTTTTAAATGGGACTACATATTTTTATAATCATGGCGTAACAGTTGAAGTCAAGATCAATCCAATGACCCAATGGTATGACCTTTATGCAACCTTGCGTACGAAAAATCCACAAATATATGGGAATATATTTAAATAATAAAATAACTGCAATAGAAGGATTAACGTTAATTGGGACACGCTGTATATATTCATTTGGACCTTCTTATTGAACGATTTCGTTTGAGAATTAAGTGATTCTATTAATTTTGCATATAAGATCGTCGAATATTATCTGGTACACCGTTTCAATTTATTATACAAATTTTTTCGTTGATCCGATCGGCGCGGTCATTATCACGCGTTACACGACTGGATAATACGCACGCCAACCGTGTCAAAGTGTTAATTTTAATGATAGTCATGGGAACAGACTAGAAAAAAAAACTCGTACCAGTGCAAGAGTAATAACTCAATTCGTGCACAGCGATTATCCAATACATAGACTCGCACCATTTCGCGGTTTAACTCGAGCGTCGAGTAAAATGATCTTCCAGAAAAATTTCTGTACTATCATTGGGGCGAGCTGTCATCCAAAAATGCTGCTTTTTGTCTCTATGACATTCACATCGATTATAATTTAACTACGCAATCTTGATTGTAATTCTTGAGGATATCGAATGATCCATCGCTAAACATAAACGTTACATGTACATAATTACCCAGAGAATTTTACAGTATAGAAATTAGTAGGCAGAACATTTCTGAAATGTCTGCAGTTTTCTGTAAAATATATATTTCTTCTGATTGTTTTAATATCGTTAACGTTCATTAGATTTCTGTGCCGGTCGTTGTCCGGTTTTCTACTTCTTAATTTGTAACAAGGCAAGCATCGAGTACTGCCTTTGCGACTTACTAAGTTTGGTAAGCGACAATTGAGAAACAAGTGGACAGCAAATAGGAGTAGAAAGTGTCACTAACTCACGAACAATTGTGGAAGGTGAATCGATGTAATTAAAGACGGATCGTACTCACAAAATTCGATAGAATATTTTGATTTCTTTCTGCATATTTCTTGGACAGCACGCTCGAACTTATGAATAGATAAAGATTTATCGATCTATTACAAAGAGGCAGAGTATGACGATAATTTTAGCAAAGCAAAAGCCTCGCTAACTTTCACTCTTATCCACGTGATCACCGTTCCCCTCTCTGCTTTTCTCCATCAGAACGACACCCATATTCCTCCAAAGAAATTCCTTGCAGCCACAACTTGCGTCTGTAACATGCGACAAGTTTTTAATTTACTAATCAATTTGTCTACAAAAATTTTTATAAGGCAACAATCGATAGAATTTTCATTGACAACCTTTTTACTCATTGTGAACTATATAACTACTTTCTACAAGCTAAGAACCAGAGGGTCGTTATACATCCTGAAACTCGTTAAAGAAAAAAAACTTGGGAATTCAAGAATGGTTCTAGTGTCCAAAAGGGTTGCAGAAGCAATTTCTCAATCTTTTTACGGTAATGTTATCAATTCCAATTTGTACTTTCTATGTAGTCTTGGTCTCGAAATATTTACAATGGAACACTAATAAACTTAATGGTTTCCTGAACTTGCGTAATAAAAAGGAAAGAAGTTAAAGAAAGGAAACAAAGTGAGTAGGATCGGGGAAATACAAGAATGGAGTTATTAGGAATCGCAGGCTACCAGCGGCTCATTCACATGTTCTAGTTTCGTGTGATATTTCGCAATCGAACTTTTTCCTGTCTGGCGACACCTTTGTTCCTCGCTGGAGGCGGCAATTAACGCAATCCACCTACTTGCGTAAACAAAACCTGTAAAAATTCAATTCTGTGGTTTTAAAAAAAAGTTCTAGAATAAAAAAAACGAGAAGATACTCGGAACAAAGGAAATAAGAACAGGGTAAAAATGTATAGAAAAAATTAGAAGCTTTATTCGATTTCCATGGGATTTTCTGTCGTTTGATTTTCTTCAGTTGGAGTAGTTGATTTAGTCAAGGAAGAATTTTCTTCATTGCCTGCAGACATTACATCTTCGGATGAAATCTGTGGTTTCTCAGTGACTTTTACTTTTGCATTATTTGTATATGTTTTTGGTGGTTTGTTTGATTTCTGTAATGCATCATTTAAGTGCTTCCTTCCAAATCTTCTGAATTTAAAGTTGGTTATGTATTTTAATTCACCATTCCATTTCCTCAACATGTCACATTGAGTTGCATTCAAAATGTCAGGGATTTCTAGAATAAAAAGGCAGTTTAATTTACATCAGGAATGGACATAGTCATCTCAATTTTTTACCTATTCCACATGTGTTATACTCTTCCAGTTCGCGTTGTTTAGTCATCCTTAATACATCTTCCCTACTTGCATGTTGCCTACTCCTCTTTCCACCTATGGACCGCTTTATATTGATTTGTCCCAATTCTTCATCATTTCTAGCTATATATCTATAAATCAAACGTAAAATTACAGTTATAGTTCTGATTCAAAATTCTTCTTTACGTACATTTCTAACAACCGGGCAGTTAATTCAGGTGTATAAGGACAAACATCTGGTTCCATATGTTCCTGAATCCACAGCATTTTCTCTCCTGTTAGGTTCTGCTTTATCAAGCTACCCATTTTGGCTTTCTCTCTGTTCGATATTCTGTAACATCGCATTATTCAATATTTCTTCTACTAATATGACTATATGAAGCATCGAAGATTTATATAATATAACAATAGTTTAATTTACTTCTTGGCTCTTTTTGCAATGGCAATAGACTTTCTGCTATTTGGATGAGAAACCTTCTTTGCCTTGAGGTATTCCTTTCTCAAGGCAGTGGACTGCAAGAAGAAACATTGTTAAAAGCCTGAATAGAGTTATAGGACCAAGCAAATATTCGGTTAAAATATAGTAAACTGATATATTCAGTAAAAGTAGATTAATACTGACCATAATTGTGATTTATTGTATAACGCCTTCTAACCTTTCAAGCTGTAAAACAGGTTGAAACAGACCATGTGTTTATTGAGTCTGGATTGAGACAGAAGAAATCTATTTCGGATGGTGGCGACGTCTGTTGGTTTAATGGTCAACTTCAAGCAAAAGTTTTTTACCATGACTACATGACATTTCTAGATCAATAAATTTCTAAATTTTTCTTGTTTTTAGTTGTCGTTAACATGTCTAACTAAATATTACATTGTTAACCTATTATAAATGTTTATATTTTTATTAGAATCATATCAATGAAGCATTTTGTAAAGATATTTTTGGAAACGTATACAATATTTTTCAAGAAGAAGAAATTTTGATAAAAGCAAAGAATAATGACGAAAGTATTTTTTATAATTATACTTTTATTGATTTTAATATCCGGTGGAACAAGTTTTGGCAGGAGAAGAACTTCCAATTGTCGCAAAGATAACGAACAATTTTTAACTAAAACGGACCCTTGCGATGACGATCAAAATGAAACATCGAATTATTATTACAATTGCGATGGAATTAAATTCGGCACAGTGCAGAAGATTCCTTATTTTCGTTCTTGCTCCGCCTGCGACGCAATACAAATCGATTTCTCGTCAGCCTGCGTTAGATGCAGAATGTGTCTTGCCATTGCTGAAAAGGTTTATGGATTTTACTTCTCGTTTCTTCTCCTCTCAATTTGTCATATTCTTATTATGCGAGTTTAGAAATTTTTGAAAATAGAACGTTGTCTGTGTACAATGAGAAAAATATTGGAATTTAAATTAGACGAGGGTAGATTGCATAACAGAGTACGTCTGTAATGATTGATCATTACATGAAAGGACAACACGCGAGGACAGGTTTTTTATACGCAAATTGTATTCATCTAAAAAAAAAAACGTAAAAAATATGAATACAAAACGCACTGATTTAAACGAACTATTACAGTATTATCTTCAATATTGAGGCAATATTCGTGTGGTATTGTCTTACAGACATTGTTCTTGTTCAGATAAACGAAACCTTGCTGGATGTTCACGAAATGATGTCACCAAACGCATGCTTGAACGACACCGAAGTCGAGCTTCTATTGCGGACCATTTGCGACCACTCGTTCCAATAGTAAATTTATAGACTATCTTATCGTTTTCGCCATAATTCATATTCAACCAAATTACCACACTTGGAAGTAACTCGTTGTCTGCGCAGTTATGGTCTTCGAGAATTCGACGGGAAAAGATTCATTTGCGACAATTTACCTGGTTTCGTTTTGGTGTCGACGTCGGTCGATGGACTTTGGGGAAAGAAGTCAGTGTCAACTATCTAGTAATCACCTCCTTTTACTTCTCCTTTTTCAGGAGGAGACATTACCCAACAAAGTGTTCTAACATCATTTTTTTGAACAGAGTTCCCTTTTTTTTAGTCACATTTGCACTTCTGAAACAATAATGACAAACTAATATTTCTGGACTAAAGATTTAGAAAGTTTCTAGGTCTGTGGATTTTTTACATCTAAAAAAAAAACGTCGTTCGCTTCTTTACGAGATTCAATTCTCCTCAGAATGAGAGATCTGTGCCACTATTATCTCGACGAAATTGGTGAGGTACGACTGTACGAACACTGGCAACAATGGTGTAACGACGACGAGAACTCACCCGATATATCGAACGTTATTTGCCGGTAATAAGAGGGAAAAATAAACTGTACAAAGCAAAAGGTCGGTTCTATTCTGTTCCTCTTCTTTTATAATTTTGTAGAAGCGAAATGGGTTTGCTGCGGGACTGCAGGAGCATGGAGGATCCAGAGAAATACGAATCCCCTTTCAAGACCTACAAAGCCAAAATGAAAATCACTGCGATCTACGGTTAATGTAACGAAACTCAGATACTAATACAATAATACAATACTTTTTCACGCGCGATAGACCGAAATGGAAGTTCGAAACTGAGGATTCGTCCTGCTATTAACTCGTGTCGAATATTTTCATGGCTCTTTACTTTTGTGTATTTGACTTTTATTCAGTAAAAACTACGGACACTTGTCACTTAATCCTTACATTTTCTTGACCTTTTCGCGTATACCCTATGTGTAACATTAATACCAAGAAATGTTATAATAAACAATGGACGAATTTTTTTTACGACGCAGAATGTTTTTAAACTCTTTTGAATAAGTCCCGTCTTTGTGTCGGCTTCGATAATCCACATTTACGTGGACTTCGTTCCGTTACGTTTCTGACAACGACGCCGTATCTTTGGCGTCTCGTTATAATATATAAAAAAAAAAAAACAAATATCACCGGAGAATCATGCATGAAGGAGATTCGAGCGGCTCCAAAGTCCGTTTGTTCCGTTTCCACAAAATTTCAAGGTGCGAGAGCATCGAAATCGAGTTGAAAAAAAAAAAAGTTCTAATTTATTCATTCGATACATCTTATTTTCGACCAGCACGGGAATCGAAATGATTTTCGAAAAGCCACGTGTCGGGTGGCGCGATCTCTCGATAGAATATAACGCGACAACATAATTATCATAGACTGGTTAATTCCATGGTAAAGTGTGTTTCATCCTCTTCATCAATTTTTTCCCCCCATGATCGCATTACGTCCTGACGACTGTATGACTGATTCTACGTAATACGTAGATTAAAAAAATCTATGAATCATTCGTGAAAAGGAAATACTACACGATCGCTGGTCTTCGTGTCGTTTGAGAACTTTGTCCTCGGTAGTTCAGGAAATACCATTTCATTAGAAGCGACCTGTCCACGACCGTTGCGAAATCTCGACACGAAAGACGAACGATTGATTTTGTCGTAATCCGTCGCATCGTTGTCGTTCAACTCGGAACGTGAAATCGTTCTTGGTGGATCCTGCGAATTGTGGTCGAACAGTTTGTTGATCCTCGTTTCATGAGAATCATTCGCGAAAATATCATTCGGTCGGTGAGGTAGATGGGGTAAGTGCGACAGATTCGGCATCAGATGATGCTGACGCATCCCCCTTACTATGGTGTCCTTCATTTGCCGCCTTTTATTCCAGATCCTCTCTGCGATCCAGATCGAAATCGCTGTCAGTCCGCCCGCGATTAGAATAAAGAACGCGGAATAAACGTCGGCCAGCCGGGCGCTGTGAAATGTGGTCGGGGACTTGCACTGCGGCATTTCCGGTAGCATTCGTTCCGTTATCCTGTTCAGTACTCCTCGCTCTCGTATCCTCAAAATACTAGAAAAATTACATTTCTTAATATCCACGCCAGAAAAACACAGAATCGAAAGGTTCCTTCGAACTTGTCCCGATTTGAACATTAACAGACACTTTTTTTGTAGTCTTTTGTTTACGGAATTGATCGAAGATAATCGAGTGGGAGTTCCTGTGATCGATTGGACAATGTTTCGAGATAAAATTCAGATTTTTTTAATGTCAAAAGGCTCTGTAAGAAGACTGCTTCTGAAGAAAGTCTGGAACGAAAATTAAACTGTGATTATGTTTTATACGATGGTTTTTAACAGATATAGACCAAGGGAATTGAAAAATTTTAACGATTAGGGGAACGGCGTCGTTTAACTTAATTTAATTTCAATTAATTTTTTAAAAGACGCTTTAATTTATTTATTTGGTTTTTGTTTCTTATTTCGTAGGTGCGCCTAGTTAGGAGTTACTCGAAAAGAGTTTCTATTTTCGATAAGAATCGGACGCTTTTTGGAGCACCAAAAATATTAGTAATGAAATGTATAATTATTATTTTGGTCGATGTTATGCAGACAGTTCTTACAAAGATGAGCGGTAAGAATCAAGTGAACTTCAATTCACAACTGTTGGAATTAATCAGAACGCCTCGGAATCTACTGTATTTTTGAAGTATCGTGTGGATTAGCCCTGACTCAAATTTTATCTCAAAATATTGCCCAATCCATCCCAGAATTCCATTCAATTATCTCTCATCAGTTCCGTAAGAAAAAGACTTCGAAAAGTGCCTGTTCTTTTTTTTTCGAGTCTTCAGACCGAGCAACCCCTTCGCATCGGAGGACGAGATATCTCGCCACGTGATTTCGTTTATATTATGCTTTGGACGAGATATCGTGCAACGCAATATCTCGTCCTCCGATGCGAAGAGGTTAAGGAGTTCTTCCGACAAGTTCAAGAGTTCGAAAATATAAAAAACTTTTCGACCACCGTTACAGAATTTTTGGTAAATTGTCGGTTCTACCCACTTTAGGTTAATTATCTTTTTGTAGGGACAAGAATGGGCCATCGGTAGAGCGACCATCGTGAATGTTTGCGGAAGGGGTAACTCCTTCAAGGTGCACCGTTCTTGTATTAACGTCGTTCTGAGAGCACGCCGTGCGAGGGTGGCGCTTACGAAGAAACCGTATTGCCCTTGCACTGCTTTCGTGAGACCGGACGTGGTGTCTAATCTGGACTCACGATTGTTGAAAGCTCTTATGTAAAGCTCACGGAGATTGCTGTCGTTCACGTTCTATAAGTAAAATCGAGAACTTGTACAGTAAAATTCCGATAACGCGGCACTCCCATATTATTAGGCCCTGTGCCTGTTATGCGATAGAAACGAGAAAAATAATTTGAAAAGCAGCCTTCGTTAATCCTTTCAGACCTGGTGGTCACATTTATATACATGCAGTTTCTTTCAGAATGTTGCAGACACATATTTTTCTTATGAATTTTTTCATGTTCTGAATGTTCTTAGTAGATCTAGTGAATTGAAAATTGAATAACAAACCTATTTTAACAAATTTTTTAAACAAAATGTCATCTAAACACTCTACTGAGTTAAAGTGTGTAATCAAATATTTGTTTACCTTTGAAAGAAAATTCTGGTCTGAAAGGGTGAACATACTAATTATCGTACACTCACGAGCAAACTTGTCTTCCGCTGAGGGAAAAGAGCAGCGTAGGGAATGGGTCTTCTATCACTTGGTAAATTTATTCCAAGTAGATACTAAATAAATGTTAAACCGAATGTTAATTTCGCATAAATTTCAGTAACTCCCGAGACCAAACGGTAGAATTTTCTCTTAGTGGAAGTAAAGTTTGCTCGTCGATGTACAGAATAAAGTGCTAGAAACTGTTTCAACGTCTCGGCCAACTGACAAATTCAAATACAAATTTGCGCAAGAAAATCCCACTAAGCAGCTTTTAACAAACAGGTTTGAAAGGTCGAACTTTCTGATCTCTTCCTTTAGCCGTGAACATACCCGAATATATTCATCGTCGGTTATGCTGTAACCCAACTTGAAATTGTACGATAGAAGATCGGTGATCGACTTGATACCGCTTGCTTGGACCGACAATATGGATGTAATAAAGCCAGCGTAAGCGTTGTACATTACCAACGCGAACATCAGACTGAACAATAGAACCGTCTTTCCGGACGGATTGCGCGGTGTCCACGGAGAACCTGGATTGACAAATCGTAATTATATATAACAATCAGGGCCGGCGCTACGATAAACTCCACTTAATTTGAACGAACTAATAAAAAATATTGCGAGAAAGAAGGCAAGAAAAATTAAATTTTAATTTTATTATCTATGTGTAATTTTTTTTATGCAATTGATAATAAATATATGGACTCAAACTATTGTTTTTTTTTTACAACTTTAATTTTAAAAAACGTAACTAGTATGTGAAATAGGGGACGTGTTAATTAGCTTGGCCTAGAGTGCAAAATAACCTGGCGCCGGCACTGATAACAATGATATATTTTCTATAATTTCATGGATTTCTTTCTCGAACCTTGCATGCACATTATACTGATGCACCAGAGGGCAGCCTCTCCCATTCCAACGCGTTTCTCATCTTCATGATGGAGGACAGTTTTCGCGGCGTAGATGATAAGCCCCATCGCGATGAAAATAGCGAGATACGTGGACGCGACGCATCCCAACAGACAGTTGTTAAAAGGCTGACGAAATATGTCTCTCATAGTTCCGCTTTCCAGCGGATGGTAATAAATATTTCTCCTATTTAAAAAGCAATATTTATCTTTACATTTATCGTGAAAAAATGAAGATTAATATTGTGAAAAATTTAGATCCATAGCTTCGATCAGAAATATCGTAAAAAATCGTCTTCTATCAATGAACGATAGAATTTTTCGAGAAGACATCTCTATGAGAATCGTTTTATTTGTTTACTGTCGGCTCTCACATATAACGTATCAAAGGATGGCTAAACGTCATCTCTGCTTGTCGTTCCTCGGTCACGGTTATGTATCCCAATCCTATATCGACGGTTCCGGCGACCACATCTCCAAGAAGATTGCTCCATACTTTGTTGTTCAGTGTACCGAGCTTTTCGTGGGGCACCAATTCTATGCTGAAAAATACAAAACGAACGAGATTAAGACATAAATATCTGAACACGTTACAACGGTTAAGGGAGTAATCCCTCCTTAATCGTGTTAGATTAGATAATATCCACCTTGCATTCACGCTGCTCGTGACGAAGATCGCGAAATCAAGAAGAGGCGCGATATCGTTCGCTTCTAATTGATCGGTGGCGTCCATCTGTCCGTCGATCGTGCCGTTCAACACGCCGAAAACGATCGGCAACCCTTTGAAGTCGTTCCGAAGCTTCACGCTCGCTTGATTCTGTAACGTCCATGAATCCGGGTTCCAGGAACCGAGGAAATTCGTCACCAGGCTGGTGTTATCGGAATGTCGGATTTTGTACACGTTGACGAAATAGAAGACCACCGTTCGGTTCTCCAAGATCGCGTATTTCAAGTTCATCGAGGCGTTCTCGTCGATCCGCTTCGTGGGAGGCTCGCGGTACGCAAAATGGCCGCCGTAACGTCGCAGACAGCAACATGACCTTCGAAAAATGACGTAAAAACTTTACAAAAATTCTTCATTGTACAAAAAAAAAAGAGAAAACTAATTGAAGATAATACTCCAACTATCGTTTGAGTTGCTTATTAGATTTACTGTGCGTAAGACGTAAATAATTAAATATTTCAAATTTCATCCCCTTTTGTTTAAGACTGTACCGCCGATACATCCTTACGTAGAATCATTACAGGTACTGAGTATACTGACTGTACCTGGATAATTATAGATTAATATCACCTGATATTGAGATGATATATTCAACACCTCCTGTTGTGAATAATTATCGAAGCTGCGCATAAAGTATTTATGCACAAGATAGAATGAATCTTCCCGATGATATAAATTAACATTTATTAAAAATTGACTTAGGCAACTAATGCTTCCAACGACTCATGTATATGTATATTTTTTTGTAAATACGATCCACCTGTTCCAGTAAGTTTGCGATAAATTCTGGATCTCCGAGTGGGAAAGGGAAGGCGTGGCGACGACCACATCGCTGTCGATGCCGATATTCAAATGCCGTAGCACCCTGTCGATAGTCGCGTCCGTGTTCCTCGTGGTGATCATCAACCAGGAGATGTAATAGTTGAAGAGAAACTTCTGGGAGGCCTGTAATATCATCGGGCTCGCGATCACAATTACCTCCGTGAGTTTTAACGAAATCAAACAATCTCCGCGGAACAATGGTGGCTTTTCTTTTCCAGGAATCGATTATAATCGGATTAACGCAACGAGACTTCAGTATCTGATGAAACACAATCGATTTGTTGTATAACACCATTTGTCGCTAATTCCGATGTTTGTACCATATTCCGTCCTCGTGAAAATTACCCGCGACGATTAGCAAGTGATATGAGGTTAATATGAATATACGGCTGTTTCCTCGTTCAGTCATTAGTTCAATAGACAAAAGGTTAGTCATTGTCGACCGAACAAATCGTTTCGAAAGTAATTATTTGCGAATACAACGTCGAACGATCCGATACTCATGGATTTCCCAATTACGTTTGTTCGGCTTGTACAAACGAAAGAAAACCATTTCCGTAGATATTTTGTGATTGTTCGGATGGCTCGTACATTTCTGTGACTTATTGTCGCGTATTTTAAAATGCTAATTTTCGAAGGAGTGTCTTCTTAGCTACGGGATAACACTTACCACGTTAAGAACGTTCTCCGGGGACGTTAGATTTAGTCCATCGAGCAGCACGATCGATCCGATTCGATGTTTCTGGATCATAAGGGCGTCCGGTATGTTCGGATTGACGGCCGACTGTATCGACACGCTGATCCCTTTCTCGGCGAGACACGCAAACAGAGGTCTTGTGTACGCGAATACGCAGTCTGCGTGTGGGAGCAAAAAAGGGGGGAAAAAAAACGAATCGCAATCAATTACGTTCAGACATGTTTTATAACCTGAACTGATTTGCATTTGAGTTGTGACAATAGCTAAGCAGATAACAGAGTCGTTTACTTCGTCGCAAGTCAGAGCGAATAAATGAATCCAACGCCGTGACTTAAAATCGTTACGAAGGAACGTGTACTGTATCACTTTATATTTCACTTCGAATCGAATACAATTGTAAAATTGTTTAATAAATAGTTCGTTAAAAATACCCGAGTCAAGGAGCGTTCCCCTTATTCACTCTGTGTCATTCTCACTTTTTCTTTCCCTGATAAGAATGGAAAATTCGCTCGACTGACGCATTACTTTAAGATAATGCACCTGACGTTCAGTCTGCCGTGACAAATAAGGAAACACGCAAATAGACGTATGTTTTTTTGTTTTGTTTTGTTTTCGGGACATAAGTCAATTGTTAATTAACTTGCCGATAACAATATTGAAATTTTCCATGTACAGAACCTGCATGCATATTGCCGCTAAATATGGATCATGTTTTTCTCACCTAACGAGCTCAGATTTTCGAAAAGCACTATTTGATCCCAGGATCTCCACTTGGCGAATTCCAGGATCAGTTGCAGCGTTAATGGTGACGGTAAAATGCATGTGCTCGTCGCCACGTAGAATGTAGTCGCTATCCAAAATCCTGTTCTCATTTTTCTATCGATACAGAACGCAAGAATTTCTTATCGATATATATTTCCTTTGATCGTAATAAAATACACCAGAAAAAAGATATAATTCAGATATCCTCTTCAATAAACTTTCATTTAATTCCAATCGATTAATATTCATCGAAATATTACTCAAGTCTTAAACGGAATTCATTTCTTTTCATTTTTTACTCTGAACTAATTAATGTAACTTTAATTTACGAGAGGTTCAATTGGACTAACCAAAATTCTCCAGCGACGATGCAAGTTCATAGAAAAAGAATAAATTCACCGAAAGGAGATTCACGTGTACCTCGTGAACATTCAACAATGACCATCCCATGTACTTGTGATTAAACCGTTCCAGCTTTAGTTAATGGCACCCGAAAACACACAAGTCCATTTCTGTTTCCCGTCGACGTCCGTACGAAACACGAAACGCCTTAGGCAACGATCGAATATAGACTGAGGATCATCTTGCCGGAGTCCTTCCGAATAGTCCTTACTTCAACGCATGCGAAAGGAATTAGCTTTCAGATAGGGATCGTGCAACCACCCCCTTTTTTTCTACGTTCTTTACGAACGTATTAATTGCGCCAGCAGTGTCATTTCTGGCTAATGGTTATGTCCACTTTCCCTCGAGAGACATTAAGGGTGTATAACGATTCGAAGGTTATCGAAGAAATTAGGTTCAACGCGATGTCGCGGATACTTTTTCTAAATTCACAAATATTTAAAAAAAAAAAAAACGTAAGCTCAAAGTTGATTATCATTTCGTTGGAATCATTCGAAAATATGTCATCTTTCCGTTGGTCCAACTACCAGAGGTCCTGTAATAATTTCTTTAGGTAATTCAACTATGATATTTCTGCACAAGATTTTGTTGAAAGCATAGTAAATGCTGTTTTTCTGAAATATCGTAATTAGAATATAAGTATAATTGTAGGGGATTATTTATGATCCTCGGTGAAAGAAACATATCGACGATAGAGTGGAAATTATGAGGTGGAATCGGGTTACTTGTTTGGAAAAATCAGCACACCGATTGTATTGACGTTTGTGTAGGAAACCCGTGAATGAGGACAATGATGTGTCGATAATAATATTTACTTCATCGTGACAGAAAATCGATAGAATTCATGCAATCGATACGGAAATAATCGGCGTTACTTACGAAAGTTTCCCCTCGCAGCTACACTTGCAATTATGTAACGTCATCATTTGCTTTGTTTCGTATTACAACAATGTATTTCGTGGAGATTAAATAATATTAAATAGTTACTTCAAAAACAATTATTGTAGACTTTTATTGTTTAAATTTTATCGTAGGATGATACGTACGGAAAATATTAATATTAAAGGTGAAATCATCGATACGACGTATTGTATTTTTATCAGATTAGAATATTAATGGGCTAGTTAATAAAAATCAGTTATTTTAATTTTACTTCACTCTTTTATGTTCGTTTTGCGCATCGCCGATGCAACTGAGTGTTAAAAAACAAACAGTCTTTAAAGTTAATTTATTTAACGTAGCCTAATGGGACCGAATAAAAACAGTTGACGGACGGGTTGTGACGTTAAACTACGTATCCGCGCGATTATTTTGTATTACAAGTTCGCGGAATCAACTTACGCAATGCCATAGAAAACGATCTAATCCTGTTCCTAATCATTTTCATTATTCTGCTTCTCCTGCCGCGGCATTCAATATTCATCGTAAATGTATTTCGTTTTTGGTATTCCTCTTACAAGCCAAGCCCGTATTAGATAGAAATGAATTTTGAAATAGAGATAATCGTTATTTCGAGAACCGCAAGAGAAGAATGCTAATGCAGAAAACGATATCAAATGAATTTCTTCGCGACATTTCGCTTACACGCGTACGTACGCGTACAGGAAGTATGCAGATGCTTTGGCAACTGTGTAGTTGCCAAAGCATTTGAATATGCACAGAGTTCCCATTATCGTTCACCAATGCTGTCGCTAATTCCATAATCACTATTATTCATTCCACTTCTGTTTCGGCCCAATAGGCATTCTGTTTCCTTTCAGTGTCACGTCCGTGCTTTCAGTCCACGTACAACAGTTTTGATTTCTAAACACGACCGTTAAATCCTGCCGGATAATTCACCAAGGCGGATGATTCAGCCTGTATTTTGAACATAAGATATTGCATACGCAATACGTGTACAGCTGCACGATTTTAGTTGTACACAAGTATTGGCGACGATACCACTTCCAAAGTGCACCTTTGATATTCGTCGGTTCATTGTGTTGTATTATTAATAACGTAATATTTAGCGTGTGCCGGGATTGGACTTTGAATTAAAGATTGTTTGTCATGCCGAAATTGAATGATGGATAATACCGCGCCGAAGATAACCATTAAATCCGGCTTTTAATAAAAATAGACGTACACAATGAAACCCCCGTATTCACGAAGGTAGATACCTGAAACGGAGGATAATAGCGAACGCTATAGATACAGGGTGTCTCGCATAAGACCGAACATTTAAATATCTTCTTTATTTTTAATGATACGAGAAATGTTTCAAACATAGCTTGAATGGTTTCAGAAGGGGAGTACATATCGTACATGGAAGATTTTTCTTCATTGCATCATGTAGCACTCAATGTATCCAACTTATGACAACGAAGGTGAACTTGAACTTTTAAAAAATAATGATATTTTGAAGTATTTTAGGATGCAACCACCATTTCGGAAGACACAAAGAATCGAATAATTACTGTTTTTGCAGCTATCGCGTCAGAAGAGACAGAAACAATATCACAATTCGTGATTTCTCGTTTTGAATCAGATTTGACAGTATATGGTCATTGTTGGACATTACTTTGAGCATATGTAACATAGAAAGTAGGTTCACGTACCATCCTATCATTATTTCAGAATTTCATTATTTTTTCAATGTTCAGGTAAATTTCAAGATCATAAATTGGACATATTTGAATGCTCCTTAATGTGAGCTACATAAGGCAATAAAAAAAATACATGTTCTCTGGTAAAAAAATACCGGTGACCTAAAAAAATTCGATAAGAATGATCATAAAAAGGAAATGTTCCATGTACGATATTTTTCTCCTGAAACCATTCAAACGGTGTTTCAAACATTTCTCAAATTATTAAAGATAAAGAGAATTTTTAGGTGTTCGGACTTATGTGGAACACCATGTATACTGTACACATGTACATACGGTAAAATATAATTTATTGATTATCTACAATTATATATTGACAAAACTAACTAGTAATAAAATATCATAATTTAATAAACATTAAAATAAAACTATAGAAATATGAAGATAAATGTTATGTTATAATGATAGAACGTCTATTTCACGAGATGAAGTGAATGACGTAAGCGTTACGGTCTTATTCCATTATTGATCATCTACTGATTTTAGTGATCTGACGGGAATTCAGGAATTTTGTATTTTATTTTTTCGGATCACGGCCAACCGCGGGTTCGGGGTTTTCGCTGTATTTACATTTCCGCTAATATGTATGTACAACAACGTGCTCGAAACGTCAAATAAAATTGAAAAGAAATTTATTACATTAGTTACATAATGTGTAGTTTTTTATTAAATACCACATTCTTGTAACATACAGCTTGAGTCTTAATATTTATGCACAAGTATCTGCTTCGCAGTTACATTATAATGACATGCAAAAGAGATTTTAATAAATCAACGATAACAATTCGTAATACATAGCAGATTTATGGCGCGTATATTATAAATTTTGATGAAATAGTCATTAAACGCATATGTAGTGAACATCATAAGTGGTGTGTGACATGATTTTTTTAAAAATTATTTTTCTGGGATGCATGTAACATTGAAGAAATGTAGCATACATATGTATATGTACACCGACGAGGAAACTGGGCTTCCACTAGGGGAAAAAGTGGCGTAGATGAAAAGTCTCTTACCACTTAGTAAATTTATTTCAGTACTGAAATAAATGTTAAAATGCATGATTTGCCATAAATTTCAGAAACTTCCGAAACCGAATGGTAGAAAGCCGTATCCTACGTCACTTTTTTCCCTAGCGGAAGCCGAGTTTGCTCGCAAATGTGCATATATCCCCTAGGATAGGGTATCCCAAGTCTGTTTCATGTGTCAGTGACTGTATAACCGACCGAAGATAAAGGTCGATCTGTATCAAATATTGTTCAAATAATCAATCCTACGGAAAAAAGCAATAAATTTAATGTTTAAATTACACAAACGCGATTCTTCTTAGTACATTGTATACACAAGTAATAATAATTGAATTAATGTTGTATATCATTCACATTGTTAAAATGTTTTTCTGCCGTCTGACACGTAAACCTCCTGATGACGAGCAACAAGAGTCATTAGAGACTAATGTATACAAAAGTTCTTGCTATTTGTCGAAACAGGACAAAGATGTATGCGTGCAAAAAATGACTTTCCAGGATCCATGAGAACGGTCATAACTAAGAGCACACTCTGAAAAGAAGGAAAAAAAACTATTTCAAACTTATTTCAAGTCCAACATATACCGTCACCGTAAACAATATGGGATCAAAGATGAGAGGAAACGTAATTTCATTTTTCTTCGAAATAAACAGATATATATCACGGAACACAGAATCTAGAATTCCGAAAAAGATCTAATTTCTCGGGGTAAACAAGGGAATTCCCGTGTATTTTCGGGATATCCCGTACTGATTGAAAGCAGACTTGGACATGAACTATGTACTTAAAATGCAAAATATGGAATGTCTCCGATACTTCTTTATGCACGGTATTTTATATTGAACAGGAAAACGATTTCTTTGTAAATCCTTTCATTATTTAATTTGAAATTCAACGTCTTTTTATTTTAATTTCGCCTAAATGCCTCCTGAAATATTTTCGATCGCGCTATTTAACAGCTTCTAGCCGCAAGAATTAATTAACGACTGTATCCCACAGTAGAAGTTAATGGCGCGGTTCGTACGAACGTAGAAGTTAATTCAGCTATTAGTTATTCTTTTTCACAGACATTCAAATCCTTTGAACAGATACAAAAATAATAGTGTCTAAATTGAAAAATTATTTTTCAGTTGTGTTAATCAAAATAAAAAGTTATGCTCAATTGGTTTACGTACATATGTATCTCATCGTTAGCATAAAATGAAGTGCTTTTCTGCCAAGATATTCCTCAGACGAAATTAATACAATGAATTTCAAATAATAAACAATTTCTGTTTCAAGCTGCACGAAAACAGAGACGAAGATCACGTAGGCCTCTGCCCTGCGTTGTTCCAGGATCCGGCTGTTCGCCGTGTCGCGGCGCCACTGTTGTTTCCGCCTGGCGTCGAAGCGCGCCGCCGCCGTGTGGCTCGTGTTTAGCGGCACTCGTATTTAGCTCTGGCCGCGTGGTGCCGGCATCTCAGTCTTGATTCGCTGTCAGAACGTTCGATCATACTGTTCCCGCGTGCGGAGGGTGAATTCACTAAGGACAGACGGAGAAATCCAGAGAGCGAAGGCTACCGCGTGACCGCATTCGTTTGCCGGTGATTGTTTGTGCGGAAAATTAGGACCCGCGGTTTTCCATTCGTCATCCGATTTCGAGAAGGTTGACGGTTGGACGGGGGTCAGAAACAGACGTGGAAAGAGAGAGGTAAGCGGTCTTCTTTGTTTTTTTTTTTTGTCCCCCCTAGGAACCTGTACTATTCGTGAGCAGCCACGCGTGTGCTAGGCTCGTTTCGATGAGAAACGATTCAACGGACTCGGAACAACGAAACGCTCGAAAAACGGTCATGCATACGGACTGCCGCGTTTAAAGTATGGATCGGATTTCTCCTCTGTCTTGTTTCGTTCGCTTTTATTTTCGAGATAGGTTAGCCGCGTTGGGACAATTGCGACGCGGTTATTAAAATTCGCTACGGCGCAACACCTTTTTGGCGCAATACCTTTTCGGCGCGTGATCCCCGGGGGCATGTGCATCGCGGATCCGGAGCGGGACTAATCTGTGTACGAGACGAGACTCGATATAAGATCATTTGAATAAAAGTATAGAGCGCGTAGAGAAATTATTTAAAATACAATATAAGTAATAATGTTTAAATAAAAAGGATCATGAAGATTGTTTTAACTTCGATTGAATCGATTTCGAGGATACGATCGAAAACAAAATTTTTATGTCCTTTCACCTAGTTACGGGATAACGATTTCTCTTTCTTTTGGTGAAATTCCGTTTTCGGAGACGGAGTCGCGAATATTTATGGTAAAAAAAAGCCTCTGTTCAATATCCAATTCGATTTGAGCCATGAGCCGCTGGAGCTCAGAATAGTCATCAACGGGTACCATGTGCCATTTTAATCCTGATTGTATTATCCCTATAGCTGCATTTATTCTATCCTTGGGAAATTATTCAAGAATTGAAAAAAGGGGGTAAAACATGCTAATTCGTAGCAATATACTAATATATAAAAAGTAGTTATATGAATATATGTCTCTCTGCTGGTTCATTTTAACCCAAACGCGGTAAAATGGTATAATATTTACATTATTTCTATGAAATTGTACTAAAATGAAATATAAATCAAAGAAACATGGTAATCTGTAGACATATTACAATTTACATATAAATATGAATGTCCAAATTATTCCCGCTGTTATTGAAGATACGAAAGAAAAAAAATAAGTAACGACCTTGAACCGTCTAACGTCCATTTAGGTATCTTGTGTCCTCGGTAGCAGCGGCAACAATTCTGATATTCAAAATCAGTGGGGACAAGCCGAATAGAAAGCAACCGCATAAAATATATCTGAAAACAATACGACGGAAATAAATACTAAAAGCTGAAGGTAACGGACAAATTGGTCTATAGTACAAGAACATATAGATTTTTGTTCAAAATAGAGTTTCGTGTCGAGATGACAAACCTTTTGCGTCAGACTAATAAAAAGGACAGTCAATTACGCTGAAACAGGAGTGATACAGAGAGAGAGAGAGAGGGGGGGAGAAAGGCCAGTTTCGATGAGCGGCTCGCGTGTTCCGATCAATGATATAACCCAAAGAAAATCAACGTCCGTCGGTAGCGTAATACGTTGTGTGCACGGATGATAACAAACGGTTACGTGTCGGATCAGAGTGTTGGGTACACCCACATGCGCGCGCGCGCGTTGGTCCCGTTTGTCGGGTATCGATAACGAAATTTGCAACGCCTGATAAAAATAGTTAAGTTTTCCTTTGCCCCGACTGTCGTTTATTTATAGATCTCTCAACCTGTTGTCGCGGATCCACACGTTACTCATTTTTCAATCCGCCTATCTTCCTATTGGGCCATCATTTTATTCGGAGTAATGAACAACTAATTGTAATAACAAATTCGGTGGCTCGTTATTCATCGATAACCAAATAACTTTCGATATAGATTATTTTAAATGTAAAATCAAATAATCATGTACTCCTGAATCAACAGGTGTGTTTCAACACCGTGTATACTGTGTGTCTGGGTAATAAATCACTTTAAATAGTTTTCTTTTCTTTATGGTATTTTAAAAACGTTTGGAGATGCAACTGTATTCCGTTATTTCGATGTAACTATAATATTTCAGTAAAGAACAATGAGCATTAGTCTCTGTTGAGAGAGGTGTTATCTGAAGCGGTACTAGAGGCACTCGACCAAAGAGAAAAGCGGAACGCACGTGTGTGTATGTGTGTGTGAATTCGAGGCGGCGTTCCGCAGTGTCGCACCTGTTGATTTGTTTGGAAACATTGCTTCTCGGCTGACTGTCGTTTATCCGTTCGCAGAGAGTTGGGGCTTAGCCACTAGGGGGTCTTCATCGGCCACGTTTCCGCGTCGAAGGGGCCATCTACACCTCGTTATATACGATACAACGTTACCGCTCCGTTACGTCGCGCAGATTAAGAGAAATTGACCAGCGCGTCGCGAATTGACGGACATCACCGTTCTAGAACAGCCTCTCGCTCTACGGCGGAATATATTGCGCTTCTGATCTGCACCAACAGGCGATCAGGGAATCGAGCTCGATTCTTCGCTATCCGTCTTCTTGTCCAGGTCCCAGCCAACTGTCGAAACATAGAAAATTTATTGAGAAAAATACGATTATTTTACCATTTACCATCACCTTCTGCCGATTGAGAGAGATTTTAGAACAGTTTTTTTTTTTGTAGAAGTTTCAATTGAAATTGCTAGAACAGTTTGGCTCCTACAGGTATTGTGTTTCTGATACGCAGTAGACTATTACTTTAAAATTATACTGGATTCTCAATTGGCTTCCGGTTTACTAGAGAAAAAGAGTATCGAAGAATATAATGGAAGATCTTTCTGTAATCGTATTGTTTGGGACTAGCAGAGAAGTTTCTATTCGGCAAGATTGAATAGGGAAGATGTTAATGCGTTTTATGGATAGTTAGAACAGATCAACAGTGTATATGACAGCGACCTCGACGAGATTAATTATTCTCAAATGGCAATCCAGAAGTAATTTTTCGGTGATCGGTCGACATTCCGTGACGTGGTTCAATCTATTCACGACGTGTCATATGCAATTTCAGTCACGTTCAGACGCGAGAGGGTATAATCTCCCACCGGAAATGTCGATTCGATTAGGGTCGATTAGTGGCACCGGTTCCATCCAGATTCAAGGCACTTGCGCGTCATTAAAATAAAAATAATTTTTTACGCATTAGTCTGTGTATATGTTTCGTTAACAAACAAAAATTATCATCTAAAGTCTAAATGAATATGTACATATACGACATTAAATGTCACAGGTAGTCTTATTAGAACTATTTACTGAATGTAATCTTACCACGGAAAAATATTCCGACGTTACATTAGATTAGATTATCGGTGGAATAAATTTTATTCGGCAATATCTCGTTTTCGTGATTCTGAACAAATCCAAATCCATTCGACTACTTATCGGTATCGATATCAAGTGGATAACGTTTCTTCGATTGCCCACGATGTATTTCAAATCTTCCATTGTTCAAGCCAGGTGATTTCAAGTTTCGAGGACAACCAATTGAATTACGCCGCTGGCACTGTTAATTTAGTATGTACATTCTTGTTTGCCAAAAACCGTCCGCCACTTTAGCTTCTACCTAACAATTTCAGCGAACGATGCTATTTTTACTATAACTTGGATTCTAGCGGTATTGTTTGTCGAGAAGGTGGGGAGGCTAGTCAGAAAGAATTTCTTAAATCGGTTACGCCAATCGGCCACGGAAGTGTATTACTACAAATTGTCTGGTTTAACGAGCTCTTCCTGAGCACCGCGATGTTAGCGCGCAAATATTTACTATGCAAAGATCGTAAGTTGTCGACGAATAAAATTAGCTGGACCACCTCCATTCGCACGAATTGTTATTATTGGCTAAGTTGATCATATCCATATGTCTACTCAGTGACAAAGAAGGCAAACGAAAAACACATTGAGATAGAGTGGAACAGAGCGAGAACGCGAGCCATTTAATTTTGTAAGTTATATACACTGGGCAATTTACGATTTCTGCACAGTACAATGCCACGCGTGGTATTAACTTTAAACTGGGGGTAGCACACCATTGAAATTGGACGATTTTCAATTCTGATTCGTCCCAAAAAACGTCGGACAATCCACGAAATGCTCGCCACTGTCTGCGGCGTTTGTCATGACCGGATGGTTCGATTTTTATCGAAGCATTTTTTCTATTCTAATGAACCCTTTGCCCTACGATTTTCGTGACGTCTGTCGACGATAGTTTACCAGAAACGAAAAGGATTCTGTACTTATATTAACTGTATTTTTATTGTTAAAGTTAAATATTAAGGCCAGCAACGTGGCATTTCACTTCGACTCAAAGAAAACCGAATACTATTCTACTTCGTCGAATCGATTTTCAAATCGTCAACAGGAATCTAACTCGATGCTACAGGGCAAGGGGTTAACCTTTAAGCTGTCGGAGGGGACCCTTTTGGGACATGGACAGAACTCGAAATTCAGAACAGTGCATATGTTATATGTATACATAAACTTTTGACCAAAAAAGATCACTGTTTTTATGAAAATATTCCGGCATTCTAAAAGTTATTAATAATGTTTCAGTTTCGAATCTTTCTATCTGTTAGATGCACGTGCTTTTTTTTTTCTAAAATAGAAAATGATAAAATAATTTGCTTACTAATGCTAGATTGTATTAGTTTGTGATCATTATTCAGAATATTTAGCCCGCGATGACCGTTCGGTGAACCACATCGACGACGAAGAGCATCACCCAGTGACCCATCGGTGGGTCACACCGTTCTAAACGTGTTAACAAACAAAGCAATACGCGCGTAAGTTGACCCACTAATATATGTATTTATTAGTCGATCGTGCTCCCCATGAATAATATGTATCTGTATTTGTTTCTTTATATTTATTCCCTGGCGTCAACCAGGTTCCGTCGACAACCCCGACAAAACATGGAAGATATTCATTTATTCCATTAATTTGCCTTCAACGGACGAAGTCTACTAATCGCGACTAATTTCAACTCACAACAACCTAATGTTGTGAATCAACATCGAAAAGATACACGTATAGTAAACGGTTTCGATGAGGAACACGTGAAACTGTTGAAATATTTATTCGGTCTTCGTTATTAATAATTCACCAGGTTTT